CCAGCGTAACCAGCGTAACCAGCGTAACCAGCGTAATCGGCGTAACCAGCGCAACCAGCGTAATCGGCGTAATCAGCGTAACCAGCGTAACCAGCGTCATCAGCGCAGCTAGCCACCGCCAGCGTACCAGCGTACCAGCGTGCAATCACTCGCGGACACGCTTTGCCACGTCGCTCAATAAATGGAGCTGCGTGCCCCAAACCATGAACCTCCTGTAGAAGCCCCCTCAAATTCTACACGGGTTGAATTCACCCAGCAGCTGTCATCAACACCATTCTAAATGACCACAACAAGTCAAAAAGAACTTAAATCAACAATAAACGAAAGTTCTGGATGCCATTCGCACTGATCCAATGCTGGAACCTGATGGTCAGCTCTTCAAGCTGCTCGGCCAGCTTCATGGATCTTCTGCCTGGGCGTCGGGTCTGATCAGGGCAGCAAGGAGTAGTGAACATCACTGTGAACATCTATATCCACAACTACAGTTGCTACAAAAAGGCACTGGTCGATGTTGACTTCAAGACACTCAAAAAACTCAGTGTTCATAAGGCACATCAGGACCCCACCATTCACATGGTGGAGAACCCCCAGGTGAAGAGCATGCGTTAAGCACTACTGTAGCATGAATGGGTGCCACCCCACAACGAAAACCACAGGGTTGACGTAGCTCTTCCTTACACAGTTCTCAAAGCAAATATCTTGTGTCATTTGGGACGTCCTAGGTCGAGTACAAAACTCAAGAAAATAACAAAACAAATGTGTGCTAGCAGGGCCAGGCTCAGAGCAAGTGAGAAGAACAGGTGAACGCAAACAGAAAATTGGTTGTTCAACTTTGCGTTTAGCCGCACATGTGGCCCAGGTGTGATGAAGCAAATCACTTGAAACAGATTCTATTCTTGATGCGCCACCATTGGCCCATATCCCAGGATTCTTTCAGCCATTTCCAGTCACCCCAGGTCAGGATGCAACTCTTAGTTTGTCCCCTTGTTGAACAACGTTGAACAACAGTACTACCAGTTGCAAACTTTGGAAACATCTCTCAAGTGAACGCTTGCCTGATAGAAGTCAATGCACATGGACCTCCTGCTAGCTTCATACCAGCTTTGGTTGCCCGTGCACCCGCGAGACGACAGCCCATGAAATCAACAAACTCATGAACAGCAAGGAATCGGTGATTTTCGAGCTTGGCCAGAAATGGTCAGCTGGGTTTGGGTGAAGGCTGGACCTGACGGCTTTGCCGCTACCAGGAGTGTCTTAAATCCAACGAACATTGAAAGTAGCAACAAACTTGCAGCTTTCATGCAGACCGGATGTGACACTGCAAACAATTTGTAATCAGTTACAATAGGCTTGTTTACCGGCATGGGTTGGCATGTTTGTTCAACTGACACGCTTATGCGCAAACACCTGACAGGCGCCATGCCGGCATGGGTTGGCATGTTTTGACATGCTTCTGTTTCACTGATCAAACCTGAGATGGCAACTGCCGCTAGGTCGAATAAGATGAATTGGATGCGTCTCACAAAAGACTTTGGCTTTAGACAAAAGACCGGCGTGGGCGTGTTCGACAGTTCGTTTCCCATCATGACATGAAAAAAATGATTGAAATGCCGTGGTGGGGATCAGTCGAAGTAAGGTAAGTCCTTTTTATGGTGACGTGATTTGCGTAGCAAGCTTCATTGGCGGCTTGGATCCGACCGTTAGGAAGCTGGAATTGTGTGGCTTCAATCATATATACAAAATTGTATATATATATATATACACACGTAACAATCGTTGAGAGGTTCTGTAGACCACCAGAATCGAAACCATGCAAAGCGGCCCAGTAAGCGACCCATTAAGAGTGGGGTTTTCCGCGATACAGTCTGATGTGTTCAATGAATGGATGTATTTATATGAACATAGTTTTACATATGTATTTATAATCTTTAACGATGATGATATACCTACACATGCCGTGTCACACACACATGTTCTGTCAATTCTGTTTTTGTTGGAACACTCCAAACATACTTCCAAACACCATGATAGAAGATGTCGAATCCAAATGGTTCTCCCCACTCCAGCGACTCGTTTTCGGTCCCACCGGATCGAGACACGCGAGTCGTGTGCCCCCTTGTCGCTGCAGGAACGCTTTTTTGCGTCGCTGGCACGTGCCTCTGTGGCGCGCTGCGAGCGCTTTGCAGCAGAGGAGACCAAACGCTGCACCGGGATGAGATGACAACCAGTGTTTGAGGCTTAGGAAGGAGATGACAGCCTTTATGTTTGTCGTTCATTGTGAACATATGTTGCTTGTGTTGTGCTTGCACATGTTGTGGGTCCCATTATTTTAACAGTGTATGCAGACAGCCATCCCAAGATCCCAAGTTAAATTTGGGGCATTTGGTGGAACTAGGAGCACTGGCACTGGCGAATGTTTTTTGGATCGTCAGAAGGCTTTGCAGCAGGAACCATTTGTGGGATCCAGGTTGCGTACTGTGTGCTTGAGAAACCAGGAGATCCTGTTGCTTTGCTTGGCCTTCGACAAGGCATTGTGGGAAGATTGAGCAGGAGATGAGTGCGAGACAGGCTAGAAAAGAAACCCCCATGAAACCCTTGGATTGGGTCATGTTGCGTCGCTGTATGGGAACGGTGGGACACGAATTCTGGAGCCCAGCGGACTCCTCATGCCTGTTGGGCCGATGTTCTTTGCAAAGACTGATTTGCAGATCGAGTAATATTCTACAAAGACAGGAACAAAAGAAAGAAGAAAGGACATCCAAAGGTTTAAACAATATATGACAAGAACAGAAGAACTACAATCATCTCTTTTGGTTCCAACTACACTGACACTCCAGCCTCCCTGAGCGGGTCAGTTCACCCCTGGTCAATCCCATGTGATGCAGAATCCTTGAATCAGCAGTGTTGAGCAAAGCGAGTAGGGTGGGTCGTCATATGTCATCGTATGGGATTTGGGACTGAGTTTTGCAATTCGTTGAGCCCCTTTTGAGACATTTGGAGCCTTCACGTACAGATCTCTTTCTGGGGCTTTTGTCACCAGGCCAACCTTGTGCATGTACCACTCCTTGAAGCTGCTGCGAAGCTTCTGAGACATCAAGTTTCCCAGGCCCAGTTTGCAAGTTTGAGTGCATAAACAATCTTTCAACACCTGCGAAACTCTGTATAGCTGGATCCACGTTTGCCCGAGATTGAAAGTAGGAAACAACCTCTTCAATGCTTCCAGCCGAGGACAACTGGACAAGACAAGGGTGATTTTCAATTGTGTTCGGTTTGAACTACCGCACATTTGCAACCCTTTGCTTGGCTTTGAAGGTCATTGTTTGGGGGCATGCTAGTTCCTTACCCCACCCACTAGGGTGGTGCGGTGGGTGTTGTCTCTCGTGTGCAGGTCAGTGGGGAGGACTTGTCGAAGGGTCTGAAGAGCTTGGCGACCTGCTGTGTCGCATGGCGAAGATCGACGTGCCGGTGCAAAGACACTCTGGGATGAGACTCACGTAGAATCTGCCTTTGACAGCCTCACACAAACGCAAAGTACATGAGAATACAGTACAGCACAACCAGAAGCCTTGACCGATTTGGACGAACACTAGATGTTGGCTCGTTCGAGAACATTGAGACGAGAGTGGAGACGAAACAGGGTGAAAACAAGTTCTTCCCAATCAGCAACTGCACTCAGTGAGATTTGTTCTTTCTTAGCATTTCTTAGCAAGAAGCTACTAGGGGCTCCTGGCCTTACTACTAGGAGCAAGGACGCTACTAGGGGGCTCCTGGCATCGCTACTAGGAGCAAGAAGCCACTAGGAGCAAGTTCTTTCTAAGGTTCGCGACCTGGAACTTGGGAGGTCCGTGGGTGAGCACTTGGCCCAGGGCCCCAAGGCGCAACGCTTTGGCGGACACCCAATGAGTGTATTTGCTGAAGGGGACAATGCTAATCAATACCTCGTTGCGTCATATTGCATCCATTCCTCGTGGTTTGAATTAGAGCCATGAGTCCATGAGTCCATGAGCTCTGGTTTGCCCCACCATGACTGGGACATCCAGGGCCGCTTATCGCCCGAAGAATTCTGCTCCTTGGCTTGGACGCGCTGGCCTCAGCAAGCAGACCAGACCCGACTTCACATGCAACCTGGAATAATGGAAACCAAGTCAAACCTGAATGCTTTCATATGCCGAAACCATATACTGGAGTGATCTGGAGTGGTAATCATTCATCCAGGTCTCGTCGCCTTGAAAACTAGAAAGTGGGACAAGTGAAATCCCTCTAGACAAACATCGAAAACCCAAACATCGACTCGACCGACTCCGACATTTACCATGGCAAAGGTTCGTGACTCTGGGCTTCTACCATGACCAGATGTTCCGAGCCGTCTTCAAGGCCCTTGAGGCAGCGAGTTCTGCCACATCGATGCACCAAATCGTTTGAACGAGGCTGAGCAGTCATTGCTTTTGGCAGCCTTGGGCCACTCAATGCTTGACCTTCCAAATCATGAGTTTCAGTTTCTCGTAGGTTTCTTGTTTCTCTCGAAAGGACCAATTGTCACACTGAATACGAAAAGGGCCAATTGTCAGACAGAACATCTTTGAATTTGTTGTGCTATGGCTATGGTCAAAGCAAATAGCAAATGACAGAGACAACTGGTAACAGAAGGGCCTTCAACATCATGATTCTTGCAACCCCAAGACAAGGGTTTCAACCTTGGAACGTTTAAGCCAGCTGGCTTGCAAATCCTGATATAGTGCAGAGACTGGCATTCAAAGCTCTTGGACGAAGATCCACGAAAGAGCAGACATGACGACGTGTTCCTTGACGTTCCTTGTGCCTTGTGAGTGATATCCTTGCTACTAGTAGTAAGGCCAGGAGCGCCCCTAGTAGCGTCCTTGCTCCTAGTAGTGATGCCCTTTGCTCCTAGTAGCTTCTTGTCAGGATGCACCCAGCATGCCCGGAGATACTTTGTGCCAGCTCTATGAGATTCACTTGGCCTTGAAGGTGTGAGACGTTGCAAGGGTAACCTCCGCTGGTGAGAAGATTACAGCAGAAATGAAGCAGTTTAAAATTAAGGATGGACACTTGACGTCTTTCAATCAGTTTTGGAGGAGACTGGGGACAGTCAACTCTCATTGCATTCGTTTTGCTTCTGTCTATGGAGAAGCTTTTAAGATCTCATTTGCTGCATAGCGGCAGAGCAGGGAGACTTGCTCATCATCCATTTTCCGGCAGTGGTAGTGGTACTGGCAGGGTTGCTCATATTTGGTCTGGGTCTTAGATTGTCTACTCCGTGTGTTGTTGTTCTGTCACCACTAGTTTACTGACTTTGCGCAAAAAATAACCATAAACCAATCATGTTGTTTGGCATATTCAGTTTCATAAGAACACCATAACACACTCATAAAAATAAATAGACAATAAATAGTTTTTTTGGCTGACTTCCAAACTCTCAACCGCATCAGAATCCACTATGACTTAGTGTTTGGTTTACACAGTGGTTTCAGAGTACATGGCACAGACCTCAAGATGTCCTTTAGATGGGGGTCATTTGAACCACCTTTTGGGGATTGTGCCATCTACTCTGAAAACACTATACTATCCTTACCATACTTTGGGCATGCACCTCGGACGATTCACGTCGTGGAAAGCACCCTGATGCACCAGAGATTCGTGGACGAGCAACAGAGAACTTAGAGGGTCCAGTTGATTCGTGGCCAGAAGTGTTCCCTTTGCCAAGAGAGGCAGCTTGGCAAGAGGACTTTATAAGGAATTGAATGAATGGAGTATTACGACAGTATTACACATGATTGTTTGGATTTTGGGAGAACGAAGCAGAACCCCCCCGCGCCAGGCCTTTCGGGAGGATCTCTACGGGAAGTATGAGCTGGAGGAGTCTTTGGCCTTTGCAGTAGGTTGTTACGAATTCTGAATTTCCTGAGCTTGGCTTGGGCGGAATTCCCCCAGCTCAGCTCTGTTTTCTTCAAAAGCAAGCAGCTCAATCCATATTTCCAGAACATGGTGATATCCCTGAAAGACGTTGTACTTTTGAAGTGATTTTCGGCCAAAATGCTTGATTCCATTAAACAAGCGGCGAACTTGGACCAGGCCCAATGTCCACCACCCGATTTCTTATTTTCCTGTTTTGTGTTTTAGGCACTTGTCCTGAATGCAGGTGCCAGCATACAACACGTTTATATGAATACGGGCTTTTCGGGCACATTCTTATTATGTTGGGCTTGGAACTATTCCTTTCCACCCAGTTTGGGTGGGGGTTTGCAAGCCTCTGGAACAACACAAAATATGAAGCACCAGAAGATGCACCAGGAAATTCTTTCAGTGCCTTACTTAAAGACTACCTGAGAAACAGAGGACACATCGTTTGCCCAACCTATTCTAGCAGCTGTTGTTACCACACGAGTCCGGAGTGCAACCTTATAAACCAAAGCCCGTTTTGATCTCAGGAGGCTGCAGTGCAAAGCCTCAAGGCGCACTATCGGAAGCAGCGTGGGGGTAAGCTGAGCGCTTAGCTGTCCAGTCTGCAGGTTCTCAACCCAGGTTGGGAAAGTCCAAAGCTGATTGAAGTTTAATATTTAGCTTTGCAATATGGTTTCTGAGGTTGAGGGATATCAAGCTGGACCGGCCAGTTGAGAAGGTTTGCAAGGCGCTGGCTGTGGCAAGTCTATGACAATGGTCACGCCATGGTCAGAAGGTGAGTCAATTGCATCTGTAGAGAGTTTTCAAGGGTTCAAGCCCCAATAAGAATCTCGCAGGGATCTAAGTCTCCCATCCTTCGGATGCATCCTCCAGAGCAAATGAACATCGGCAGAGTGTTCAGTTTTGACCTGCCTGTGAGTCGGACCGTGCTGCTGGTTCTCAAGATTTGCTAGAATGTAGCTGGCAGAAGGCTGCCATTACCTTTGGTGATACGTGAAGTTGCAGAAGATGCAAATATAATAACAAGTCAATTAAATCAGCAACCACCACCTGATACTGTAACAGGTACACGAATAGCCACAAGCCTTAGATCTTTGCAGCCGCTTGCGTTGTGCTGTTGCATTGTTTGCCCAATGAAGTTGATCCTTGTCGCGCTGCTGAGCGCCTGTGCTGCTGAGCCACAATCCGAACAAGGGAAAGCAAGATGCTCGAACGAGAGTTGAGGGACTGGCGTGGGGTTTGCTGGAAGTTGTACGAGTCGTGAGCCACCTTAGGCTCCTGCCCTTTTTCGGGTGACAACTCCCATTCTATGTGTTGCCTCGGCCCCCAAGACCAAGAATGCCACGAATCATTCCGATCTTCTTTTTTCCGCTTGCCGTTGCCTCGTCGTTGCCGTTTGCACCTTTTTTTGCTGGCGTGTTTCGGGGCTAGACTGTAAGAATTGTAGGGTTAGGGCCCCCGGACTGCTGGACAGCTACGCCATGCGCCCGAGGAGAGGCCATCGCCTTCCTGGCAGCAGCCTCGGCACGGGAGGCGCAGCTGGATGCCACCGACCAGGTCTTCCTGAAACGACTGCAGGCGCGGTGCGGCATGCGGATTTCTTGGGCGGTTGAGACGGATGGAGAGGATGGGTGTGCCAGGTGAAGGTGCGAGTGTGAGAGTGTGCAGGTATCAGGAGTAGGGCGTAGGGTGTTGGGCTTTTTGGGGGAGAACTGCTCAAGAAACTGTTTAAGAATGTTAAAGATACTTTTTTGTGCAACTACTTGAACTGTACTAAGACTCCGTTTCTGTTCCTTTGCATTGAGAGACCATGAACATCATTCACATAGTTCCACTATATGGGCATCAGCCAACATGTAAGACTCACATATCGGGAGAGGGAATGTTCATTCGAAACAGACCTTTTTGGCAACATATTTGTACCAGATGCGTCGTCCTGAGTCTGAATCCTCATTCGTGGGACACACATCGTCAGCGGAGACATAGTTGTTTGTTTATTCACAATGCCTTATTCTTTTTTTTGTTGTTCTTACTCTTTTAAAATCACACACGTCCTCTCAAGCGATTTGAGGCATGCCATGGAGATTGCGATTCGCTTCGGGCCGAGTACGAGAAGTCGCGGAGATCTTTGCAAAGCCTCGAAGAAGAGACGCTGAAGAGAGCCACTAAGGCCTTGGCGCCGAGCCAGAGGGCGCCCGGCGCAAGAGTTCCTGGGCCTCTTCATTCACATGTCTCCAAAAGTGCCTGGGCAACTCTTGAGAATCCTTTTTGAGGAGGAAAATCGGGAAAGCCGCTTTTGGTGCCACTTTGGCAGTTTGAGACGTGCAAATTGCGGTCCCTCAGATTTTCCTCGGCTCAGGTACCAGGTTGTGCAGTTGGATTTGTGTTCTTGGAACGTATCAAAGCATTTGAAATCCAAAAGATCATCCCAGACTCCAGGCATTCCGCTTGCTAGCTGGCTCTGCATGGCAAGCTAGCCCTTGCTAAGTCGACATAAGTCGACTACTAGATTCCAACATGGAACTGCAACCAGGGATTGACTTTCAGTTGTGGTTGGGACGAGCCTCCTCTGTGCGAACTCCTAGTTGTGCAGCAAAATCCAATCAACGCGAACAAATTACAACATTACAACACTAATCAAGGCTCCATTCTACATACACAAGCCTTATGCACCCTTATGCACTAAGGGTTTTCAACATATCATTGTCCGATGGTTCGTCCGTTCCTCCCGTCAACAGCCACGTTTGTGGCTCTTCCTTCCCGTCAGACCGAACCAGGATCGAAGGCCTCGACGGAGTCCAACTTACACAAGTTCGTCCTCGTGGCCTCCGTCGTAGGACTCGTGATCGCTGCCTTCTTCTCGCCACGGCGCCCCAGCAGAGGTAGTCGGACGAAGTATGCCAGATGTTCGGTGTAAGAAGCAGGAATTGTTGGTGGAACATTTAGACAAAATATGACAACATCTATATTTGCAGGGCGAGATTTTCTGATGCCTGACCAAGGTGGCTACAACAAGCCAATAGGCTACTGAAGTTGAGTTCGCCCTCCGAAAGAACTCCGATCTTAAGCGCGGTGTGATGAGACTCTCAAGCCGGATTGAACCGATACGGCCGGTGGAAGAAAAGAGCAGTGCTTTGTTGATCCAGAGCACCTTTTGGTACTAGTACTAGTACTGGGTTGCTCATTCTCTAAGCCTTAGAGCCATCGCTGCCATCACTACATTATTGCTGACATGACAGTTTGTCCAAGCCGCTGCGTTATGTTAGGCAAAGCTTGGCAGTTGAACTAGCGTCATTGAGGAAGGATTCACTTATTCTGTGATCAACCAACCATCAAAAGGGACAACGGGTTTTGAGAACTTCTGACCTGAATTTAGCTTTGCATCCATTTGGCCGCAACTCCCGGTGCCAGGATATTGCAGATTCTCTTCAGAAGGTGGTCACGGGGTCCGTCTCGCGACAGCATCAAACAGAGAAGCTGCCTCAGATGAAGGGAAGCACAACCAATGTCGATGGTTGTGGGTCAACACGGACACCACTAAAGGCCTTCACAAACATAATATACCTGTAGTGGGGACTTGACTAGGATTGGTACTGACCCACAACATCGATTTGTCAGACTTTTCTTTTCTTTTGCTTGTTGCAGCTCAGCAAAATCGGAACTCTGAGCGAGCACCACCAGGCTGGGTATGGCTGTGGACATTGCAGTCACCAAGAAAGGCTCCAAGCCAATCGTCTTTGTTGAGGCGTCCTGCACTGATTTGTGTTTCGCTAGTAGTAACAAGGTGCCTCGCTAGTAGTAACAAGTGCCTTACTAGTAGTAAGAAAAAGCTATTAGAATTAAATTAGAATTTAAATTAATTCCAATGGCTTCTTGTTACTACTAGTAAGGCACCTGTTAGTACAAGCATGGCACCTTGTTACTAGTAGCTTCTTGTGACTTGGGTGATTTGCGTTTTCGTTTCGGAAGGTCGATGGTTCGCATTCCTTGATGCGAACGCGGGGGTGCCCAGGTCTTGGACGTAATGACGGCGATAATGGCGTGATCTAAACATGTCATAGGCACCGTGCAGCTGGATGTGCAGGAAATTTCATTCCTTGCTCTGTCGTATTTTGACTGCGATTGCCGTTCCTCTCCTGGATGAAATGGTTCGTGTTGGCAGATCATCCATAAACAGAAACCTTGCTGAGCCTTTTGGAATCTTTTGGATGACATGTATGAAAACTCTGGTAACATTTCAGGGCTTATATACGAGATGCTGATGATTCTGGTTCCAGAGCCGATGGCTGGATGGGAAGCTTAGGCTGGATCTCACCGGACCTTCGCCATCTCAAATCTCACGGGTTGGGTGGCCGAGCCTTGCGAGAAGGATGAAGAACCGACACATCAGTCATGCGTGACTGCTTGCGATCCATTTGCGATCTTGTAGGGCAGGGAGTCAGTGAAAGACTTTTTCACATGTCCCTGTGCAGTCTAAGCCTATGGTGTTCTTTTGGCAGGAAGCAGAGGAAGATTGAGATGCTCCCGCTTCACTGCAGGTGAAAGGACCTATTCTGCTAAAGCGTTACTTGCTGCAGAAGCTCGGAGCTTGGAAGAGACCGAGATAGAGAGCACGGAAAGCCTTTGGAAGTTTGGCTGCCTGGCTCAGGCACGGCTTTCGAATAGCCGCCCCACACCAAGTGCAGCGCAATTTCTCTCTCCGACATTGCGTTGTAAATCTGCATCGCTTTCATTCTCTTGCCCCAGTTGCGTGCACTGACGTTCAACATTTTGGAAACCCCACATGCCAATGACCAGGACCTTTGCCAGGTGAGCCTTATTAGGGTGACACTAAGGTCACTTTGCAAGATGCACCATACTGCAACCATTTGCAACCCCTGAGGTCGTCCCTGAAGACTTCTGGCGAAGTCTTCCCGACAGCCGAGAAAAGAGGGACCGACCCCGCAGAGTCAACGGCCGGTTGGAGCCAAGTGAAGCTGGTGTACCGTGGTAAGCGCTGCATGGGTGTAATATGGAGGTAGAGTTGCATGAGGTTATCCTGAACTACTTACTTTCATGCGAAGCACAAAGCAGCTTAGGATATTCTAAGATCCTGTTTGCTTCGGAGAATCGCACTGGGAGCAGTAACATGTAATACTATGTAATACTGTATATTAATTAATATGTATATATATATACACTGTATATTGTATAACCAAATCTTTGGAATGCGTCAACAGACCGCAGACAGGCGTCAAAGTGACTCGAAAGCTCCGACCGAGTCGATTCGATGGCTTCGGATAGGGGGAAGAAATGGACCCAGAGAAGGAACGCTTGTGTTCGATAGAATGATACCCATCATCTGACCTCTTTGTGCAGGATTTCCTCCGCGAGCTCTTGCGCAGCGCCGGAGTGCCTTCTAAGCTGTTGTGAGGAAAAGACCTGAGTGCCAGAACACAGGTTCATTGGTGGGCTAGGGAGGGTGGAATGAATGATTGCACAAACACAGTCTGATGTTTGTATGGATTATACGGACTTTTCACCCAACCCTCTGAAGGTGAAGGCTCGCCTCGCCGAGCCTTCCAACTGGATAGCTTAGGGGCTTTTTAGGGCTTTGGTATTCTGCAGGCAGTTGCAAGCAACATGGCACGTGCCAGGTTCGTCCGGATCATGGACATGCTGCAGATGGGACTCCACCAGTGTCATTTGCAGGTGCTTATGGAGGCAGCGATCAGTCCACTTGCCACTTAAGGGGCCCTGGTTTTTCATGTCCAAGTCGAGTGTCGTGTTGCGCGTGACTCTGTCTGTCTCTGTCTCTCTCTGTCTCTCTCTGTGCCTGTCCGCCTGTCCGCCTGTCCGCCTGTCCGCCTGTCCGCCTGTCCGCCTGTCCGCCTGTCTGCCTGTCTGCCTGCCTGCCTGCCTGCCTGCCTGCCTGGCTGGCTGGCTGGCTGGCTGTCTGTCTGTCTGTCTGTCTCCGTGTGTTTGTGGCAGGCTTATTGCGATGCGAGTGGCAGGGAGTTCAGCTATTTAGACTTATGCAATTCTCTTCAACGACGAGCATTAGCAGCTTGGCATTGATGAGTGCTGTGGGACTTTCTCCGGAATCCGGGCTCATTGACAGCGTCCCTTTCTGGAGGGCTTGAAATTCTGACTGAGTCCATCCCTTGAAGCTGAGCTCCAAATACAGGGGAATCTCACATTTTGGGGATTGGATGTCAATCAAAGGCCTCACCAGCAGAAGATTTGGCTTAGATGAGCTACCTTGGACTTTGTTTAAAGCTCAGCTCTTTGTCCTGAGGAACTTGGGAAGGGAGTGCAGTCATGGCCTAGCTCCCAGCTGAAGCTGTTGACTCTTGAAGCTGTCGAGCCACCCTCACACATCGGCAAACTATCCCTCGCTTAATCCTGTCTCAACCCGCTTTTCTCGTGTTTTGAACGTTTTTGTCCGTGGTGTGTCCGAGGCGCCGGAGGACACCTGAGCCGTCCAAATATTTCACTCGCCAAGCTCCCAGTCAAGTTGTCAAATCCAGAAGATCGGACCCATTCTGAGTTGTCACTCATTCAATGCCACCACATCCCACTGAATCCACTCAGCTGAGCCACCGACCTTGAGGTAAGGGCAAGGTGATTCCATTGGCTCGGCCTCCTATGTCCGCCAGGTGCCGTGGGTGAAAGTTTTAGTTTCTGGGTACGGTCCCTGCGTGTGTAGAATGCCTCAAAGAAGAAAGCAGGATTTTGATGTGATCGAGAAATTGTTTGTGACACTGCAGCTACTGAGCTACCGATTTACCTCGTACTCTTTAAGCCTTGGTGCGGCTTTTGCTTGCCACATGCAAAGCCAAGAGCCCCAAGAGCACAAGTTAATGGAATGACATCAAACCACCAACAATGTCATTCGGTGCAGTTCGCTGCCGCCCCAGATGCAGGACTAGTCGACCAATGACACGGTGAGAAGATAAGCTGAAGAGGCAGAAGAGTAGTTAGGACCCAAGAGTCGGGGCTTTGGCTGGCCCTCGTGTTCCGGCAGCAAATGTGGCTGGAGCCTGCCTTGGGTTGGAAGTCGCGTTTTCAGAGCCATGACATGAATCGAAGAAATTGGTGAAATTTGGATCAATTTGGCGTTGATTTCGGAATTTAGTTGGCTTTGAGCCAGCGCAGTCGCTTCACAGTAAGAAACCTGAGAGGCAGACGCGGAGTAGATGGCCTGGAGGAACAATTCTTGTGTTTCACAGTCTTGTTTGACCTCTGCTGGAGAAATCACAGCACAGGTGCAGGAAAAAATGCTTGCTTTGTATTGTCCCAGAAGAGCTCGGGGGGTCAAAACCGGCTACTTTGTTTGCACCTCCCCAGTGTTTTGAAAGACAGGCTCGTATGGCTCAATCATATATATATATAGTTATATATATACACAATTATACACATATAGAATACACTAGGTGTATCAACCTCACCCATCAAAAGCATGTGTTCTTGTAACAATCGTTCCAGCGCAGTCGCCCCGCAGGCACCGCATGCTGCAGCTGTCCTCTTTGTCTACCACATCTTCTTTGTGAATCTTCTAGCATCGTTTTATCAGCTTGTTTCTCAGAGCTACTAGGAACAGAAGCTACTAGGCGCTCCTGGCATCGCTACTAGGAGCAAGGACGCTGCTAGGGGCTCCTGGCCACACTACTAGGAGCAAATAGCTCTTTTGGTGTAATCCGAGCACGGATGTCCATCAGCAGTGACGACTCAGGTGTGTCATGACAGATCCGGGCGTAGTGCCTCCGAACTGGGGCTTTTACATGGGTGACGAGACGAAAAGAAGAAGGCGTGGGCTGCACTTCGGATGGTGGGTTAGTCCTTACTACATGGTGGTAAAGGATTAGAACAGTGTCCACCTACAATCAATCAATCTAATCCGAACCACAACTGATCCAACAACAACATACTAAATACATATATATATATATTATATATATATACACATACCTCTAAATAAAGCTACTGTAAATGTCTTTGAGCTGGATTTCCCACTGGATGCCTTGCTAATCCAATTTCAATCCATGTAGTTCCAAAAAAGTAAGGCCAACACTACCAATCAATATTGAAACAATTTT